GATACAATTCAGATAAACATTCTTGGAAAAAAGATAAGAATATCTATCTATCTACAGTTGTTTATGCCTGGGAAACTAAGCTAGGATAGTCCACAAATATATGTATCTAGTAAAGATGTTATTGGACTTCAACAACTTTAAGAAGAAAAGAAGGATGAAAGGAAGGTGGGAAGGAAAAAGGAGAAAGAAAAAAGAAAATCATTTTGGCATCTAAGCAAAAAAAATCTAGTCACTTAAATCAGAGAATAAATTGGCCTGGCCTCAGTATTCTCTACAACAATATTCAAAGTCAGAAAATAGTGGAGTAATACAAAATCCTTAAAAGATAACGCTATCCCAAGTGGTTATACTTTGCTGCCTTAGCCTAGGTTCTTCAGAGTGCAGAGTCTGGAACAAAGGTTTAATCGAGTGCATTTTTTAGTTTCCTGTGGCTGCTATAACAAATTGTCACAAACTTGGTGGCTTAAGACAACAGAAATTCATTTTCTCACAGTGTGAAGGCCAGAGCCTAAATTCAGTATCACTGAACTGTAATGAAGGTACTGGCAGGGTTGTGTTCCCTCCAGAGGCTCTAGGGGAGAATTTTTCCCTTGCCTCTTCCAGTGAGTTTGGGAGGCTGCCAGCATTCCTTGACTTATGGCTACATCACTCCAATTTCTGCTTCTGTGGTCATACTGCCTTCTCTTTTATGAGTAATCTGCATGTTACTCATAAGGACACTTGTGATTGCACTTAGGGCCTGCCCAGGTAATCCAAGCATAATTACTCCATTTTAAGATCTTTAATTAATCATAGCTAAAACGATTTTTTGTTTGTTTTTCTATAAAAGGTAGCATTTACAGGTTCCACACAGATTATAAAGAAATTAAAGGAATTGTAAGAGACTACTTTTCTCAATTTAATGCAAATAAACTTGAAAACTGAGTTGAAGTAGTTAATATGTAAGCAATATATAATTTACCAGAACTATTTACAGCAAAATACATAAAATTTCCAAAATACAAATAGAGAAAAATGTCAAAGAACGTCCCTCTCCACTTTTCCTCCATCTGCCAAAATAATAAAGTGCCTGGATTAGACAATTTGACAGAGAAATTCTAACAAAACTTTAAAAAAGCAGGTTAATTCCAAAGATACTTTAACTATTCTAGAGTGCATAAAAAGAAGGAAATGTCTCCAAATTCTTTTTTTTTTTCAAAAAAAAAATTTTTTTTTTGGTGGGGGTAGGTAGGTAATTAGGTTTATTTATTTTCTTTAATGGCAGTGCTGGGGATTGAACCCAGGACCTCATGCATGCTAGGTGTACACTCTACCACTGAGCTATACCCTTCCCCTCCAAATTCTTTTTATGAAGTGGGCATAAAAGTGATCCCTAAAATTAACAAGGATCTCACACACACACACAGGCAAAAACTATCAACCACATCTCAAAGGTTCAACAGAAGGCACTGCTAATTAGGATACAAGGAAATCAACAGCCTTAGAGTCAAACAGCAGCCAGTTAGAAGACAGGACAGAAGGAAAAATCCCTTATTTTCAATAACAACGCAAAAGATCAAAATATGTGAGAGAAAGTGTGTGAGATCATTATGAAAAAGACTTTAAAATGATGCAGTAGAACACAGAATAAGCAATGAACAAAGAAAAAGCATTCCATGACCTTAGATAGGATGACTCAATACCATAAAGATGTCAATTCTCCCTAAATTAGCCTACAATTTTCACACTAGTCTAATAAAGATGTCAGTATCATTTTGTCAGAATAATCAAGCTGAGTCAAAAGTTCACGTGGGAAAACAAACAAGTAAAAATAGTCAAGAGAAGTTTGCAACAGAAGAGTAATATAGAGGGCTCAGTTTCCAAGTATTAATCCATTACAGAGCTTCAGTAATTAAAGTGGTGTGACACTAGCACATGGATAAAGAGACAAATCATGGAACAGAATATAAAGTCTAGAAAGAGAGATACATTTATACATAGTATTTTAGAAAAGGTGGCATTTCAAATAGGTGGGGAACAGGTGGCTTATTTAATAAAGCATGTTTAGGAAAATGGACCAGAGAAAAGAAAAGGAAAAGAAAAAGAAAATCTGACTCTATTCCTGATAACTAGAAATAGGAAAAATTCCAAATGTATTTAACTTTTAATTGTTAAAAAAGATTAAAGTACCAGGGAAAGCCATAGAAAGTGGGAGGCCTTTCTATGCATGACGTGAAGCTCAAAGGCTATAAAATTAAAGACTGATAAACTCAATTATATGTTTCAAAAAATGCACATGGTTTAAAATACAATAAGCAAATTCAAAAGGCAATTATCAAATTGGGAGAAAAATGAGAATCAATATCACAGGCAAAATGTTAATCTCACTAATTATAAAGAGTTCCTAGAAATCAATGAGAAAAAGACAATCCAATGAAAAAAATGGGCAAAAGTATTGACAGTTCACAGAATTGTCCTTCAATATACATAAAGAAGCTCACTCATAATAAGAAGAATAAAACCATTAAACCCTTAAACCATTTTCACCTATCAGATTGGCCGAGACAGTTCAATAATTCACTATTTGGGGGAATTGGGTGAGGAAACAGGTCTTCTCCTACTTGTTGGTGAGAATTAAATTGGTATGACTTCTGTGAAGAGCAATTTGATAATGTCTACCAAGTGTATAAATACAATACCCTTTTAGAAATATATTTTAAGATATACACATATATTTGTGATATTATGCACACACAAGGGTATTTACTGTGACACTATTTGTAATAGCAAAAGAATGGAAGCAGCCTAAATGCCTATTAACATCTATCAATATATGAGTATAGTACATCCATACAATGGAATCATATAAAGCCATACAAAAGAATGAAGAAGCTCTTTACTCACTGACTGATATGGAATGATCTCCAAAATTATCGATGGAAAGAGCACACAGGGGCACACAGACATCTCTGAAAAGACACACAGGAAACTGATAAGACTGGCTGTGCTGATGAAGGGGAAATGGGCAGCCGAGGGACAGAAGTGTGAAGGATACTTTTCAGTAAGTATCTTTTTATGCCTTTTGCATTTTTAGTCTTGTGAATCATAACTGCCAAAGTGAACTACAGAGATATTAGTGAAAGAAATCAATACAATAGAGAAAATGAGGTAAAGTTAGCTTTCAACCTTTTCCTCCTGTCTTTCCCCCAAGATGTGCAATTCTTCCTCCAATTAGTTTTGCTTGCTTCCATTGGCTTCTACCCTTATCCCCAAACCTTACTGTTTCATTTATCTTCAGAGGTTTCTTAACATTTCCAACATTTTTCCATCAAAGTTATGATTTGTACATCTCAATTTCATCTTGAACTATGTGCAGTTCTAGAACATGGACTCCACAGAAGCCACTGTGAGTTTTGAGAGACACCAAAATAGCAAAAAAAGCCTAAAAATCATTCCCTTGAGGCAATCATAAGAGAACAAACACATCTTTTGGAAGGTACTCTAAAAAAAAAAGTGCTTAAAATAAAATCTTGCCTGTTATTTGCAAAATGTGTTATTGGCCATTCTAATAGTATTTGTTTGGAGAATTAAAGATGTCCTCCCCTAACATTCTTAACTGTTACAAGCATACTAAAGAACGTAAGCTTTTAGATAAAAGGAGGCCATTCTCCATGCCATATGGCCATCTCATAATGACAGAGCCAGGTAAGAACCCAGACTTCCCAAGCCTTTGTCCTTTTACTATACAATACATGGAGATAGACAAGTAAATGTTTATGTGTGTGTATATATACATATTTTGTTATACTTACATATGTAACAAAATAGGATCTTTGAAATTAAGCAGCAGGCCAACCCAGTATTCTCATATTATTTTCCCCTATGTATATTTATTTTTGTCTTTTTTTAACCTTTCCCAAAATCACATCCCATTTTAGAAAGTTGAATAGTGAATTTCTTTTTTTTATCATGTTATTAAAACCATTCTAAAGGAGAAACGTTCAAATCTGAAGTTAACCCTGCTTTCACCCATCTGCTCAAACAGAAATAACTTCTGAATTCTAAATGCTTTTCTTTCTTACCAACAATCCTCTGAAAACAACCTAACACAAGAAATATATGCCCATCCCTCCCCAAAGGAAAGGTAGGATGTGGAAGTGGATGATACAGAAACTGAATTGCACAGAAGCAGTAAGAATCAAAACTCCATGCTTTAAGGAATGGTAAGAATGTAAACCTGCAAGAATAGACCCTGTATTAAACTCCTCAAATCCATCAGCCTGATTTTGAGTTGAATTTTCTCCAAGGCTCTCAAAGCAGAAACAACACGTATAAGTATGACAAAACTGAGATTACGACATTAAGAAAAATGCTAAAGAAAAAGGGAAACTATGCATTCAGGTAACTCAAACCTATTTTTAATACCTGTCTTATATTTGTGTCGTCCCTTCACATTATGTACAGGTAGCGTTTGAAAAATTCGATTCTGTATTCACACAGACATTGGTTTCAACTATGGCTAAATCACCTAACCAGTTTTGTCATATACTGGGAAACATACCGTGTTGGGTTGGTAATATTAAATGGCATGACACTGATAATCGCTTAGCAAAGTGTCTAGTACATAGCTAAGCACAAAGATAAAAACTAAAAACCAACAAAAACAAACAAACAAACAAACAAACCCTTGGAACTCTTTTTTTAGTCACACACCTCCACACAGGTGAGGTGACATGTCCGAGGTCTCACCTTTCGTGTCAGGACATTTAGAAAGCCAGGCTTTTCCTCTAAGGAGATTGAAAGTTGAGGCAATTAGGGAATTCGCTAAGTCAGTATCCTTAAAAGGACTAGGTGGGGGAAAGTGGCCTCCGGCACGGACAAAGTTTTCACCACAGAAAACCGCCACCACAGACCCTCTCGATCTTTCTCTCGTCCCGGGCAGGTACGAACTACACTTCCCAGCAGCCCTCAGGCTGCTTCCGGTGCAGCGCGCGCCAGCGCCCCGTTTTACGGCCGCATCTTTTACGTCAGTTCGATCCGTAAGCTCCTACGGCTGAAACCGAGTTCCTCGATATGGGTTCCTTCGTTTCCCAGCCTTTGGATTCCGCCAAGGTCGCTGCACCTCCTGAGGCTGCCTCCTCCGCCAAGCCCGCGCCCATCTCTGCACCCGGAGTGGCGACCTCTCCAGCGCAATCTCCTCTATTTAATAATTGCTGGAGCTGTCGCGTGCTCTCCGGGTCGGGGCTGATAGGGGCGGGCGGGTACGTGTACTGGGTGGCGCGGAAGCCCATGAAGCTGGGATACCCCCCCGGTCCAGGGACTATTGCACAGATGGTCTTCGGCATCAGTGAGAGTCGGGGCACTACTGTTGGGCTAGGGGAGAGGGAGATGAGGGGCGCGGCCACGTGGGTGGGGGAAGGGCGCTCGTTTTGGTCACGTGGCGGGAGGCAATTCCCCTCCCCCCGCCTTCTCCCCAGTAAGATACAGGGCGGGGAGAAATTGTTGAACGCTTTTCTTCTTTTTTTATTTTTTTCCCTTAAACCACAGTATTTTTTGAGAATTCTTAAGTAGCCTCAATCTTCTTAATCTTACCAAGAGCTATTAAAGATAGGTATGAGTATAGCAGTCCCATTTTCCTGTTGAATAAATCGAGGCACAGAGAAGAAATACCATGTCCAAGGTCAGACATCCAGGATAAGACACAGCTAGCTTTTGATCCCAGATTTATATGTCACCAAAACCTATGCTGCTTCTGTAGATTGTGGAGAAAGCCTGATTGAGAGCACTTGACCTTGGTTTAAGAACTTGGCTTTGAAGGCATGTTGTAGAGATTTGTTCAAAGCCCCCACACTAGGTCTACCACTGGGTACTGTGGCCACAGACTTTATTTGTACCATTACTAAGTTATTATCAAAATGTCTTCCAGTAAAATGTAGTGATTCTTTTAGCTCTTGAGACCAGTTGAGTGAATAGAATTTTAGGTTTTCAGACCTCTTACCTTCTTAACTAGATTGCTCAGATCAATTCCCTTTTAGTGCCTTGCTTTGGAGAAATAACAGGATTTTTTTTTTCTTCTCAACTTTCTTCTTCTGAGCTTCACTCTTCTATAAGAAAGTTATAATGGTAATTGAATCTTCAAGGAGTATTGTGATAGTTATATAAGATGACATATGTGAAAGCACCTGGTAAACTGAAGTGCAGCATAACACATAAAGTACTGTTTTTGTTTTTTTTTTCCCCCCTAGGCATGGCTTGTTGGGGTGTGGTCATACTCTCAGACCCCAAAGGGAAGGCTTTCCGTGCTGGTTGAAAGTACCACCAGTGAATTTGTCATCTCTCCATGTCCCCATGACATAGAGCAAACATAAGATCATATGGATATTCTGGACAGAAACATGGACATTGACAGACTTCAGTCCTGCGGATACTACAAGACTGAAAAGACAAACATGATTGTCATTCATTGGCAGTGATTGCTTGTGGCCTTCTTCGCAGATTCCGCAGGGATCAATAAATCCCTCAGAGAAGAGAAGAGTTTCTACGTCTTATCTGGGGAGGGAGAGTATACTTTAAAAAAAAAAGGAAATGATAAACCAAATAGGAATGTGAGCTAAACTTATTTTAAATAGTTCTTTTACCCTCTCCCATAATTGGGTCAACACCTACTATCAACCTAATCCTGGATAGGCATCATGCAATAAGCTGAAGTACAATTCAGTTATGTGATGTTAGTGCATATAGAAGTTCTAAGTTAGCAGGGACCATAGAGGACCCAAAGCAGGGTACTTCCTTAAAGGCCCATGACACATGGTCATCAACTAAAATACCAATGAAGACAAGTTACTACCTACTTAAAAGGCAGGCCATTCTATTGATGGACAGCTATAGTCCTGAAATTTTCTTAGGTTAAACCCAAATTACATAAATCTAACTTGCTGGTCTTGGCTTGACTTACTGAATACATAGAATAACACTTAAATACTATAATATAATTTTAATGGCTTTGCCAGAATTTGTACTATTATGAATATTTAACCAAATAAGAGTTTTTCCAAATAAACTTGCCCACTCATCAGCTATATTGCCCAACTATGTTTGGTTCTTCCCAACTTGGAATCACTTAACCAGGTGTGAGCATGTTCCATCATGCCTATAGGCAGTTGGGAATAATGCCCCTCCCTTCCAAAAACAGGTTACTTAGAGTTTGTACTTAAAAATTTTGTTTTCCTTTTGAAGTGTGTTCTAAAATTTACTTTGATTTCTGCCAGAGCTATGTCAGAGATCCAAGGTTTCTTTTTAAGGATGAGTCTTCAGCGAGAAAAGAGACATGGCCTTAGTCCTGCAAGCAGGAAGTGCACTTAGTGCCCCTATTATCTTCTCATTTCTTGGGGATGAAGTGGGGAGAGCAGGATTAACAGGCTCAAGAATCAGTGGATTATTACTCAGTAACTCAAGAATACCAGCTTAATTATGATTTATCAACTTTAGAACCTCTTTACAGCATGGAAATGAGAGTTTATAAAGGCTCATAATTACCTTTAGCAAAGAAGAGAAAAAGTACAAAAATGGGTAATTTAAAATGCACTTACAGTTATCTTTGGAACATAGATCAAAATGTGAACATACATGTGAACACTGACATTTCTCATGGTATCTAAGACTTATTAGCACAACCCTTACATAATGTAAACTTTGCTATCTCCAGATGATCAGGTAATCATTATACCATCTCTTGTTCCCTTTGTGTATTGCACTGACTCGTCTAGAATCCTGTGACCATCTAACAATAGGTCTGAACGTTTTAAAGGACTTGAATGTAGATTGATCCTTAGGATCTTGCTGTGTACTGGGGGGAGAGGTGTGGGGTCTCTTTGTTCCTAGGCCAACTGCTGGGACAGCTGTTGGCTGGCAGCACTGAAGTGTGCCAAATGCAGATTAATCTAACAAGTTCTGGAGTTCACCTGACCAGGACCAACTGCAGAGACAGCTGTTGCTGGTGGCCCTAGAGGTTAAGCATTTCAGCCATGATTTGTACTTTACCTCCACCCTCAGCTCAGCATTTGCTCCCTGCTCTTTTTTATTACTGGTTTCCCAGCCTGGCTGTGTCTGAATTAGGTGCCTCTTGAATGAAGCCACTTGATTTGACAACATAAAATATATTGCTCCTAAATTAAATATATGTTCAGGGCAAGCATATGTTCAACTACCCCTCAAAACAGACTTGGCCTCAACTGATTTACTGCCAGGGCTTCATTGATCAAACCAACATTCTCAAATCTTGAAGTGAGGAATAGTAAGCAATTCTGAGTTGAAAAGCTACTTTTTAAAATGACAGATAAATCCTTGCCTTGACCCAATGATTATACAGGTGTTAGGGGCAAAGAGTCAGAGGTGAAGGACCTATAATTACACATCACTAAGAGGTATCCTAAGAGCCTGAGGGGAAAAATATGTCACTCTTCTAGATGCATGTCACTTGTCCTTAGCGATATTCAACAACTTGTCATTCATATGTAAATGGAATGTAGAGAAATAGCCAAAAGGGCAAATGTTAAATGTAGCAATGCCTCTAAAAATCTCTGCTCAGTCCTAGGACTGAACTTGCATGTACTTCAGGAGCATGGTACGCAGGATTTTTAAGATGGTCTCCAGATTCCCAACCTCCAGATGTCCATACACCTTCTCCCAGTTATTCAGTCAAACACCATTCTAGGTACTGCTGTGAAGGAAATTTGCAGATATAATTAAGGTCTCAGATCAGTTGATCTTAAGGAGATTATCCAGATGGGCTAATCACATGAATCCATTAAATCTTGGTGCAGAGGTCATAGACCTGAGAAGCCAAGGATTAGAAGCAGGAGAGGTGGGGGGTCAATGCATGAAAAGTTCATTGGAGGCTGGAAGAAAGAAACCATCCACGTTGAAAACTGCCTGTGGGGGCCATATGACTGGGGACTGCAGGCAGCCTGGAGTGCTGAGAATGATCACCAGCCAACAGCTGAAAGAGAAACGAGGACCCTAGTTCCACAACTGGAAGGAAGTGAATTCTGCCAGCCACCTGTGAGCTTGGAAGAGGGCCGTGTGAGAACCAAGAACCGCAGCCCTGGTCAATACCTGTTTTCAGCCCAGTGAGACCTTAAGCAAAGTAACGTGAAACTGGGAGCTAGTAAATTTGTTTTAAGTTGCCAAGTTTGTGGTTATTTGTTATACGGCGTAGACAATGAATACCAGGAATCAGGAGTGTTCTGTGTTGTCATGGTCATAGTAGGTGGCACGCCATACCAAATACACACCCTCATTCTGGGTATTCAGGAAGTAGCCAGAAGGGGCCATCTGAATAGCATTTGCCTTTACAGTTATGGTCTTTGCTTGTTCTTTTACTGGTGTATTACTTGGATAGTTTGTATTTTCTGTTTTCTGGAACAATTGTTCCACTACTAAACATAAAAAAGAAATCTGACAGCAACCTTTTTATGTGCCAAGCATATCTGACTAAGTGCTCTGCAGGTATTGTTTAGTCCTCTCAGCAACCCTGTTTTACAGATAAGATGACTGAGGCCTGGAGCAGGTAAGAATTTTCCCAAAGCCTCAAGTGATGAATTTGGTTAAGCTTGGTTAAGAGCACTGTTTGGGAATTGGGAATTCATGCTGCTATAGTCATTTTCTCAACATCCATTCTCAAAATGTTTAGGTATCAAAATTAGAAATTTTAAATTCTGATTTTCCATTTTTTTCTTGGTTATCCCTTAGTTTAACATGCATCATTAATCCCTTGGTTTCTTCTTCTTTATAATTGAGATCATATCACTTACTACTCTGACAGCAATTTACTTGTTAATCCAGAACAAGAAATTCTCACCTCCCTAAGCAGGCTCAGACAATTCCCTGACTTTACCCTAGTTTGTCTCCTGACCTTAGATCATTCTCCTGAACCTCAGACTCTATTTTCCAACCTCATCATGGCACGCTACATGTCTGACACCAGAGTCCCAGCTTGTCTCAGTAAACTCTTATCTCCCTCCTACCAATTAGTGCTCCTCTGTTTTCTATCTCCATCCATAGCACTTCCATCAGCTATCAAAGTCAGAAACTGTGGAATTATCTACCATTCTCTTTATTCTCATTCTTCTGATCTGTTAACAAGTCCTGGTTATTTTAACCCTTTACTGCTCTTTCCTATCCCTTCCCATTGCTGCTAACATCATTTCTCATTTAGATTACCATAATAGATTCTTAATTTCTCCTTGTTTCCTGGACTCCCCTCTCATCGGCCCTCCACACTCTAGACAGAGCAATCTTACAACATGTCTCAGTTTAAAACACTGCATTTAAAAGATTGCTCAGTAGTCAGTTATGCATCTGTCCCTCCCCACCAATTGTGTACTCCTCAAGAAGAGGATTGTGCTTTTTGCATCTTCATGTTACCCTTCCCCAGCCACAGCAGCAAACATGCCAGCCACTTGGTTGGTGTTTAGTAAATATTTGATGAATAAGTGAATGAAGGGCTGAACAAATTAATAAGGAAAGAAAAAAATACTTGTTTTATTTGACAACTTTAGAGTATTTCTGTGGCTCTTATCTCAGTTACCCATCACCCCTTGCCCAGCAGCATCAGCATTACTGGAAAACTCATTAGAAATGTAAATTCTTAGCCCTAAGCCAGACCTACACCCTAACTCAGGAGCCCTGGAATTGGAGCCTACCAACCTGTATTTTAACAAGCTCTCTAGATGATTCAAATGACTGCTTACATTTGAGAATCACTGGTGTGGTTGAACCTGGCTGATGTGTATAGAACATATTTCGGCTGTAACAGCGGGAAGAACACCTGAACATCTGGACATTTGACTCAGGCTCTAATCTCAGTTCTGCCACCAGCTCCTAATATGCTCTTGAGAAGACACGACCTTTTAGATCACAAATGTTATCACCCGTAAGTTCAGAAGGTCGGACTAGGTACTTTCTAAATTCCCTTTCAGCACTAAGAGCCTCTCTTTGCATAAGGAAGGAGATGTATTCTCAGGTTCTGAAGGACAGAGAGAGCAGTGGGGAGCTGAGGAAAAATGGAAGCAGCACTCTCTGCAGGGATCCTGCGATGCTGCCGCAGAAGATCAGACCACTATTCCTGCAAGTTCACTCCCGAGAAACTTGCGGCTGCAGATGCCTGATACTTCACAGGAATTTAGCAAACCCTCGCCCCACTTAGCACACTTGGCCAACCAAACAGCTCTACAGGGGAGGGGAGAGGTCCTTCCCAGCCTTCTTGTGATCACATCATGCTCTGAAGCATGAAATGTGATTACCCTTTTCTGGCCTGAATAACTGCCCAAGCGTTCAAAAGAAATAAGGGAAGCCAAGGAAGCACTGGGCGGGATGAAGGGGTGGTTGTCTGTATGTAGTCCCTTTCCACTTCCTAAGAACCCAAATAGGAAAATCCCTCCTTCAGTTTAACCCTGCATAATACTGATTTAATGATATGAATTAAATTAAACACATTATGTAGACTGTGTCTTGAATAATAACAAACTTCAGCAAAAGAAAAGATGCCATCAGTGAGTGGGCAAAGCAGACCAATAAAAAAATGCACATTCTGTCCTGTACCTGGAGGTACAAGATTGTGTGTGTGTGTGTGTATTAATGGTGTCCACCTAAGTATGAAGCTGAGTGCACACAATAAAACCCGAATGATGACTTTATCACTATAATGGCCAACTACAGAAATAGTCATTAGGCCAGGGACCAGGGGCCAGTTTTGGTGAAAACCCTAGATTCTGGTCATGTTACCACCAAAAAGGTCCTAATATCTAGAAGAAATCTGGCCTCATTTCCTTCAAGGGAATTACCATTTTCAGGCATTTCAGATGCATTGTGTTAAGATTCTGTCGAAATACGTATTTATTAGCCTTTGTTTATATGTCAAGTACTCTGCTAGGTGAGTTAG